AACAAATCGTTAGGATTTAAGGCACTGCCAACAATGCAGTCGCATAGAGTGGCACATTTTTTTATACGCAGCAAAACTGCATTCATGTTAGAATTAAATTATATATAAATTAATTTTTAGGACAAGTTCGACAAATATCTCCTATATCACTGGTTGTAACTTGTAGCCTGTAGCCTGTAGGTACATATTTTATACATTGGAGAGAAGATCATTCCCTGCCCACGACAATTAATGGTCTGTTATTTATTAATTATTGAATTTTATTAGTTATTATACATTTATACCATGATGCATTAATATATAATAACAAATATTTCTTTAAAAAAAAAACTTGTGCAGGTGTCCGCTTTACAGAAAATAATATTTGATTAGATCGTAGTTTATTCGTTAGGCACGTTGCACAATCATGGCCAAATTTAATGATAATTATTAATTTTAGTAAGCCTTTAACTATAAAACATAGTTAAGAATATCATACAAATCATACAATATCCCGAGGAACGGTTTTAGGCCCTTATTTTTTTTTGTTTATAAATAGAATGCTTTAACTAAAAGTCGATGCTAAATTCATAATATGTTATGCTGATGACACTGTTATTTTTCACCAAGAAAACAATTAAGATCATTTGTAAAAAAAAGCAAACTATTATGGTCTACACTGTACGTAGGTGTCAATAGTGGGTACAGGCCTCGACTTTAAGTGGACTGCTAGTGCCATGCCCCAGAAGGCTTTACAAAAATAATTTTTTTTTTTACTTATTTCTCTTTGTGAACAGTAAAATCCCAATTATTTAATTAGATACCTACTTTACAATTTTATTTTTTCTGAAAAAAAAACATATTATGATATTAATATGAGGTGTGTATCATATAATATAAGAACGTATCGTCGAATTGTGTACTAATTTGGACAAACATTATTGTCAATTCTCAACTATTTACTATCTTTCATACTATCTATCATCTAAGCCCCCTCTGAAATGTAGTGATAGTTAATTAAGAATATTATTTTGTGTTAATAATAAAAAAGGTACTTTAAAAGTAATTTCAAGTACCCATATAAAATACCTGAATAATGAAATATTTATAAATTACTACTTTAAATTTATAAAAAAAAAACTATGGCTTATATCTATATTTTTTGGTGACACACTGTCACCCTCACTGGGCTTGTAAGGATCCTTATATTCTTTTTCAAGCCTAACCTATACAAATTGAAAATTTTTAACTAGAAAATTACTTGTAAATTGTCGTAATTTTGACGAATTTTGTCTAATTTGAACTACAATTGCTTTTAAAAATTGTGCCTTTGTTTTGGTATGTTTAGTATTATTAAATAACTATAATAACAACTTTTGAGGAATCTTGTACTAAATTTTCGAGTTTCGTAACCCAGCAAATAATTGTTTATTGGCATATTTATATAATAAAAACTAAAAACAACTGAACATTTTTATAAATAATAAATAGCTTATTGAAAAGTATTTCATGTACAGGAAATGCATACATAAACATTTGGTGACAATTTCAAGTATCTAAAGTTATTAGTTTTTGAGTTACAAAAAAAAAACAAAACTGATTTTGTCAAAAACTGGTCTTGCTAAAAATTTGCGTTTTTTCTGTTTTTCCCTGTTATTTCGGAAAATACTAGGAATTTTCAATTTTATCTTTCAAAAGAAAACCATCTAGATACAATTTTGTATCAGAAACCACCCTCAAAGTTGAAGATCGAATCATTTTTTCTATTATATAATATTCGTGTGTATATTTAGGCACAGACACAAAAAAACACACATCACTGTAAAATTAATACATTTATCGCTCTGCTACTGAGAATCTATAAAATGTGGCTTTATATTTTTGATGTTTTTAAATTACAAATTACAAGAATAAATTACGAGTAGTCCAGCTGGTTTAAATTTTCAAGCTTTTCGACCGAGCATACAATTATATTGCACATTGATAGAAAAAAAATATATATAATATTAATAATTAGGCATACAATATATTTATTTATCAATTATCAGTAGAGTACAATAATTAGTCATTGGATAATTTTCTTAATGTGGGAATTCAAGAATTGTTTGATAATACGATTGTTTGAGAATACAATTTTGTGTCAAGCACGAACTGAGATAAGTACGAAGTAGGTACCTAATTATTACCGTATGTAATAGATAAGAAATTATAAAAACATACTAAGATTAGTAAATTAGTAGACAAAACATATTTTATACATATTATATTATAAATAATGATTTTTGCTAGAAATAGCACATTATCATACACGCGGTAAAAAAAAAAGATGATAATTATTCTCGAACGGACTGAACATTAAATAAATATGCCATAGGTACCTATTGTTTTAACAGTTTTAAATTACATCTACATGTCTGCATTCTTATCTACTATGGATATAGTAATAGAATAAATCATCTAAATCAAGGTTTTACATACCTACCTATTGTAGAATAAACACTATAATAACATTATCTTTAAAGATACTCATATAATTTGAGTAGGTACCTACCAATAATAGCGGGCTAAACCCAGGTATGCAAAAATTATAAAATAAAAAATTGCAGATAAAAATATTTTGACTTTCTGTAACTTTCTGCAACCATTTTATTGAGTAGCTTCTATAATGCTTAACATTTTAAAACAACTCACGATATTTATATAATCAGATGGTTGTATCTACGGCATTCTGGTAGTGGTTTTAGGTAGCTATGTATAGCCTATAGAATTATTTTTAGTATTGCTGATATCCAAAGATATTCCTAGGTACCTACCTATTTTCTAATTATTACACTAATGTATTTAGTTAATTTTCAAGGATCATTATTTTTCTATAGACGATTTGAAATTTGAATAGCTATTGGTTATATTTATACTTATACATATTTCTATGTCCGGGGCAGCGGAGCCTATTATATATGCAGGTATAGATATATATATATATACCAGAGGGGTACCTATTTAAAATTAAATAAATTATGAATACTTAATCTATTTGTCTACCATTATAGCCTGTAGGTAATGATTAGGTATGCAATAGGTACACAGGTATCACAATAAATATATAGATACCTACAATTTGTAGATGCTAGGTTGTAAGTGGTAAGTACCTATATAATACCGAAACTAGGAAAAAAATGCCCCTTACCAACGAACACGAAACATTTAATGATTGTTCTCTAATTATTGATAGGTATCATTTATTATTTATTTAAACATAATGTATTGATGTGATTTAAATAAGTTTAATATTCTTATGCGTACATACTTTTACATAATAGTAGACCGTGACATGAAATATTGCATATATATTTATTTAATTTCATATTTAAATCTTAGTTTATTTTGTATAATTTTAATATTATTTAATAACAATAGGTAAGTACCTACATTAAACATTGTTTTTCATTAGGTAATCATGTAATATGTTTATGGAATTGTAATATAATACCTTTATCATTTTCAAGATAGAGTAAAATGTCAATTACTTTAGTTTTATTGGAGATAACCACACTGCAGCGTGTTCAAAATGTATACATATAATATACATTCAAGTAGAATAAATTGACTTACAAATTAGCCATTAGGTACTGTGGAAAAAATGGCGTGATATTGTTATAACAAGAGTGATTCGGGTGTTTTGGGACACACTATACCTTAGGTATGGCTTATAATATTATGTACATAAAGATTCTAATTAAATTTATCTAAGATAATTTTTTTCGGAGATTTTTTCCTATTATTTTCCGGGCTTTCTTTTCCAAATACCACATAATATCATAAATTATAATATATTTAACATGTATTATGTATTATATAGTGTTACTAATTTTTAGTAGTCTTATTTTAACTTTTAAATTAACATATTGGGTAGAGTCGAAGAGATTATATGTATAAATGTATAGTTCTTTTTTATGTTACTTACAAATGTCAGTAGTTATGTCTAAACGACTTAACAAATTTGTACTCAAATATAATATGTAATAAATAATAATATTACTTTTATATAGACTAGATAATCAGGTGGCGTGATTTTTATTTGATTAAGATTAAGGTCGAATACCTAACCTATTTAGTATTTATATAACTATATACGTAATAAGTTGAAGTAATTGATAAGGAAAACATTATTGACATTTGACATGTATCTTTCGCTGGCCATAGTTGTTAAATGTAACGAACATATATAATAGTGTATACAAGACGATTCTCTTATCGAAGAACTATAAATATTTTATAACTATTGAAGTACCTATTAATGTTTTAGAAATATTATTTTAAACATTTTTTAAGTTGTTAACTGCTAAATAGTAATACAGTACCTATTTTTAATATTTTTATATCGTCATAAATCTTATACTGTTGTGTATGACGAATGACAATATAAATATTTTTTTTATTCATATATTCCAAGCCAGAATTATGAGAATATTTATTCGGAAGATTTTGATTTATGAAAACCAAATGTCGGACGAGTAGTAATTTAATAAATCATGAGTCGGTATTTATAGTTTAGACAAGTAGAGTTGTGGAGCAACATTTTTCGGGCCACCTCGGAGACTCCATTAATCTAAACTTAAAACCTACTACAACCTAGCTAATAATTAATATAGCTAAGTTCCAAATTCATAAACAAGTCGTTCAAAATTCGATTTTCATTTTATATATCAGTATATTTCTATGGTAGGTAGGTATTCAAAAAATAATATTCTGCTAACAAACATCATGCATAGCGTAATGTGTAAATAATCTATATAAAGTGTTAAAATATAATTCAATGTTTTAACAGAAATTAATGAATTATTGTCATTTATCATTACGATGTTACTGCCCGATCTTAAGTCGTGAGTTGCACACTCTGTATACAAAATACTATAAACAAATAGTACACAAATGCACAAGATAACGAGCACATTATAAGTAGGTACCTATTTAGTATATTTTATTATCAACTTATTATCATAATAATACTTGTTGCCTATTGGTGGTTGGTCAGCGGCAATTGTACACTTGTGCAGTAAGCTTAATATTGTGCGGCACTTTGCATTTCATCTTCGTTTATTTACGCTCGGTGGCCGGCAAGAGGTTATCTCTCAATGTTTAGTTGTCGTTTATTCATTCAAACGTGGACTGAACGCTGATTACCATTTTATGATACACTAATTTAATAGCTTTAGGACTATAAAAACTGTTCTATTAAAAGCGTAATTGGTTAATTAAGTAATTTACTTGATTAGTGAGTATATAATTGATGCTAATTGTGACAAGTGGCTACCAGATTAAACAAGCGTATGTTGTGGTTTTGATTGTAGCGTTACGATGGCAGACCCAGCTGTAGTGTTGGCAAAAAAGGCGAAGATCGAAGAAGGGAAAATCAAAGACGACTGTATTAGTTATGATATTGATGCATATTTTGAAAAATGCAGACCAGATAAAGGTAGTAAGTGCACTTGGACAAAAGATTCATGCGCTAAAGATTCACCTCATATTCACAATGAAAATGTGTAAGTATAATATTATTTATATTTTAGTGCACTTTTACAGTTTTTCAATTTTTAGAAATAATAAACATGAAATTTTACCAAACATATTGCACGCCATTGGCAATACACCTTTGGTGAGGTTGAATCGAATACCTCAATCCGAGGGTATTGAATGCGAGATTTGTAAGTATTTACAATTAATATAGCATGTAACATACATAATTTTTTTTTACATTATTTATTGTGTTTAGTGGCTAAATGTGAATTTTTGAATCCCGGTGGTAGTACTAAAGATAGAATTGGATGGAAAATGGTTGAAGATGCTGAACGTCAAGGATTGCTAAAACCTGGAATTACAATAATTGAACCATCATCGGGAAACACTGGTATTTTACTATTTAGTACTTTTAAGTTTTATTTTATGTACGTATGCACTTACTAATATATTATTATAGGAATTGGGTTAGCCATGGCTGCTTCAGTTAAGGGATATGGTTGCTTGGTAGTGATGCCAATGAAAATGTCTCGTGAAAAGGTAGATGCTCTACGATTGCTAGGTGCGAAAATTGTACGCACACCTACAGCAGCTGCCTTTAATGAATTGGAAGGTTTGATACGTGTAGCACATAAGTTACATTTAGAAGATCCTGAAAATACCATAATACTTGATCAAGTAAGAACATTGTCTAGTTTGTTGATAATTTACTAATGGCCATTTTTGTTTTTAGTATCGTAACAAATATAATCCACTGGCACATTTTGATGGGACTGGCCAAGAAATATTGGAACAAACAAACTATAAAGTTGATGCAGTAGTGGCTGGTACTGGTACAGGTGGTACAATCACAGGCATTGGCAGGAAGTTGAAACAAGCACTTGGAGATAAATGTCGCTTAATAGCAGCTGATCCTTATGGTAGCATCTTATCACTGCCTGAAAGTCTCAATGAAACAGATATACAGATGTATGATGTAGAAGGCATTGGTTATGATTTTGTGCCAACAGTATTGGGTAATGATCATTAACTTTTCAATAATGACTGATATATATACGTATATTAATATAGACGTGCAACAAACTTTTAAGGAATCTTGTACTAAATTTTAAAGTCTTAGGTATAAGAAGAACATTTTTAATGAATTTCTAATTCAAAATAATTTGTAATGAGCATTTGAATTTGGAATTTTGTTGAAATTCTTAATTCAAACGCTCATAAAATATCATTATGGATTTACGCTCAACTTTTTTTTTAAATTTCTGCTGACAACAACTTACTAGGAACCTTGTATTACAATTTCAAGTTTTTTAACCGAGTTAACAATTTTTTATAGACATTAATCCAAAAAAACTAATAATAATCGACAATTTCATAAAACAAGGAGTTCAACACGAGTCGAAATATTTTGATTTAATTTTACTATACCTGTGTGGATCAGTACACACTATACAAGTGAATAATTAAATGCATTCTTAAAAAATGAAATGATAAAATCGTACTTGACTGGATGGTTGACCTTTAAATAATGTTAAAATTTAGAAGCAGAACAATAATAATTTAGAAAAAAAATACCTAGGTAACCAAGAAACAAACAGCTATGACATATAACTATAACAAAATTCAACTAGGTATACAATTTTTCACTCAAATAACAATTTTATTTCCAACAATATGTTACTACGATAACCTCGATTTGCATTCTGACAAAATATTTTAATTTTTCATATTACGAGGTATCGATCAAGGCACATTTATAATTGTATTAAGTTGATTAAATGTTTAAGTTAAAAATGTGAAAACGTATTAGATGTGTTAAACACAAATGGTCTGCTGTTACCTATGAAATATTCACTTCAACAATTATAAATCCTGAAATATACAAATAATATGAACAATTTTTATCAAAATATTCCTAAAGAAATATTGCTTAAAAATAGGAGGATCTCAGTAATAAATAGCACCACAGTAATCAATCACTTATGTTTAACACTTATAAGTTTTGTTACATAACTCTTTTAAACATATGATATTTATTAATTGATTTGTATAAAGTAGACTTGAGTAGATATTAATTATTAATTATTTACTATTTCTTAAGTCTTTATTTAAATTCTCTTAAAACACCTACAATTTGATGGTTATACTCTAAAAAACCCAAAAATTATTCTTTTTATATTCTCTTTAAAATTAGAAAAATATGCAAAAATAATCAATTAAATATTCAGTTTTTTATTTTTTATTTTTTACAATAGTATACATCTGCATAAAGGAATAATATTGCACTATTGCAACAGTTAAAATGGTATCTCTTGTGGTGAACAATTCTTAAAAGGCATTTAAAACGAATGAATTTTTTTTATTAATTAAAAAAACTTAACACTCAATTTCAAAACTAAAATATATTTGGAATTTTGATAAATAATTAATTTGTTGTCATCAGTATAGGTTAGATAAATTAGTACATAACGGCACTGCAGCAGCCAAGGATGTAAGGCCAATTACAGCAACGTAATACTACTATCACTGCATGTTTTTTTACAAAAATTAAACATAAAAAAAAAATTTTGGTTGGTAAAATATTTGGCCAGGAACAGTAAAGTGAAAATGAAAATGTAGGTATAACAATAGTTAAAATAAAATTAATTATGATTTTTCTCACAATTAACAAAATATTCAGAAACATGGTAAATAATTTAAATATTCCCTAATCCATGAAATATGCTTTTTCCTATTAACTCTGTGTTGAATTAATCGTCCACATTTTAACTCCTGTAAGACTGGATTAACTCATATATGAAATTATATAAAAATATATAAATCTGGTTTTTAGTTGTTATTAACAATTTACAAAAAAAACATTAGGATTACTTTAATAAATTATTATATTACCACTCTCAGGTGCTTGGACAGATGTCAGATACAGAAAACAGATTGAGTAATGAGTTTCAGAATATTTATCCATAATGTAATTTGATGCCAACAAATAAACAGTTACTAGTAATTATTAGTAGATAGCGCTGTTTATTCTCAACACTTTTTACATACCGCATTGATAGGTATGGATTGTTTGATGCACATTATCTTAATGGGGTAATCCGGAAGAAATGTGCATATAAACTCACGGTTAATGGGAATTAAAAAGTTAAATCAACTTGGCCAATCCTAAATTATAAATACACATATAATTCTAATGCGCATTGACCAATGTTTATAAATGTGGTTATAACATAATAATAATACCTTTATATATCTTTGATGGCAATAGCATTTATGGCTATGACGTAAAGTACAGAGCAGTGGTTCTTAAACTGTAGTCCAAATTGGTGCCCGTATAAAATGTATATATGTTTGAACCAAGTTAAATGATAGTAAAATGGACTGTGATAATACTACTATGAAATTAAATATCCGATATCGCCGTAACTTTCATTATTACTGCATATATTATATTTTACTGAAAAATATAAATATTTTTTGTCAAAACAGCTAAAATGATTTTATTTATAACAACTTTATCCACTAAGGGTTACATCAGCTCTTCAGGAATACATGGCACGCCCATATATATTTTATATTCAGTCATTAATCAGTTAGTTTTATACTATTTTTTTATTACAGATAGATCAGTTGTAGATGAATGGATTAAGACTGATGATAAGCACTCTTTTCCCATGGCTAGAAGATTGGCACGCGAAGAAGGATTGTTGTGTGGTAAATATAATATATATAAAAAAGCCCAATAAATACAATATGGATGAACTAATAGCATGGTAATTTATGATATAGGTGGAAGTAGTGGTTCAGCTATGCATGTTGCTCTTCAAGTAGCCAAGACTATGAAGAAAGGTCAAAGACTAGTCGTAATATTGCCTGACGGTATACGTAATTATATGTCCAAGTTTGTCCAAGATGAGTGGATGCGTGAAAAAGGACATGATCTCATTGAAGATGAGCAGCAATTGCCCCAGAAAAATTAATAAGAATATAAGGTATTTTCTTAAATACATAATTTATATTGTTTTATAATAAAATCACATCAGAAAGGATCTGTCACATTTTAGATTTCATGTTATTAAATAATACACTGACAAAATAATAAACAGTATTTGTAATTTGTATAGTTTTTCTTCTTTATACTAATATTTGAAGTATTAACAACATTAAGAAATGAGATTTAAAATATCAAGCATAAAAATAAAATTTGGGGTATATAATCTTGTTAATTTTGAATAAATATAAATATATGGTAAATTTATAATTGTGTGATTGTTGCCTGTTGGTACAATGGTACTAACAACATTTATTTTGATTGCATTGATAATATGCAATTACTCTAATTTATCGATGGTTGAATAATGTTATGAAAAAAAAAAAATTAAGGACTTACTAAGTCTAAGGTTGGTATTTACACAAAATGTAATACATTTAAAGTTAAGACAATGAAATTTATTTAGATAATAATTTCTCCAATAGTGTAAATTAGTTGTATGAAATAATTTTAAAAAAATAAAAAATTTTAAATATTTTTAATGAACATAAATACTCAAATTCCCAAATTAGGTGTATTAGAATCAAATACTGCTAATTATTTAGGCCAAAGAAAATATTGAGTTAATAATTTTAATGTATATTTTAAGTATGTTTAATTTGAATATACTGACCATACACAAATAAAAACTTTGCTTAAGTAAAATATTTTTGAAAATCAATTAACTTAAATTATCAGTTAAGAGTTCATGATAAGTAATAAAACTTTAAATTGTATATAAATAAATTCTTTACATACCTATAATATACAATTTATCTTCAAATTACAATCAATGTCAAATCAATCATTTTAACAATGAAAACTCAATTTTTTTGAAATTTAAAAAAATTACATTTTTGCAATTTATTTGGAAAAAGATAATTATTATAATACAATTAACTTAACCATGTGGCTTAATCAAGTTCAAAAATGATCATTAAGCTTACACAGTTCATTGTTATTTGTAAAAAAAATGCTTGCCATGTCAGATTGGCATGTTAATTTCCTTGATTTTTAATTTTTAGACATTTATGAACTGTATGTTATATGTATGTATTTTATTACAATATGAACAAAATTGTACTTTAAGGAAATGGTTAATTGCAAATTAATTTATTAAGAAGATATTAGATAATAGTAGAATATAGTAGGTTGAATGTAACTGGTTTAAATATAAGAGGTATTTAAGTCATTTTGCTTGTTTTATTTATTAAACTTGATGACGAATAGTGTACCTAGTATGAATATTTTCCAATATCATACCCAAGTTTAACAATTTCAGTCCGGAAAAAAAATGTCGGTGTGAACAGCCCCGCAAAAAAAATCATTTTCATTCCCATTTATTGAGATAGATCCCCGAAAACGGAGAACGAATTTTGTTGTTTGGGATCTTGTTATAGATTCATAATGGCTAGGAGGAATGCAGTGAAGATTTTCAACTCTTTATCTTGAATAGATAATTCATTACAGAGCTTTAAAAAAAATTAAAACCCATTTTATTGGGTGTTTATTACTGAGTATTACTGTATTACTCATTATTACTGAGTTATATTTTTATTATTTTCATATTTAACACAAATTTTTGAAGTTTTCAAAAATTCATACCTTTTCATTTCAATAACCTTACTTTCTTGATTAAAAATCTAGAAAATAAAAACTTGAAAAGAGACGCTTGTTAATTTTTTTTCAGTGTACGATGTTATTAAACCTCTCGTCTAACCATAAACACCACCATACATAACATCATCTTAAAATTAACTTTAATGACGTTAAAATAGACGAGTACTGCAAATAAGCTTCTAACTTTTAAACCAGTCAGTACCAGAGAGTAGATTCATGGTAAGTCGATTACAAATATTAAGAGTACTTACACATCTCGTAATTTAATTTCATATTTACATATCTGGCATATTCACAGCGTTATTATCCAATTGTCATCCCGGGCTAAAATAATATGCTTTTACGACCGCAGATATTCCTTTTCACTGTTGATTATAACGTTTCGCATAATGATTTTTTTTTCTAATAATAATGTCGTTTTGTTGCTCGCGTTATTGTCATAACCGTACCAGTACATTGTACTAACACCTACGTATATATACGCGACGAACGACGTGCATTACAATATATTATAATAATAATTCCGGGCTCTAGCGGTAGCGGTGTACTAATACCATTTACGTCGTCGTTTTTACTCGCGTACATATTATATTGTAATACCAGCCACACGCGTTCCGCTGCCGCCACAGCCACCGCCATTTCACCACCGTTCATTATTACATGACTTCTTCCCTGTAATATTTGCGCAGAAAACTTTTAATATAATTATTTTAATAATTCCGAACACCTGATGCTACCCCGTGTCGCTGAGTTGTTGTATGCGCGTACTGCAGTGTTTAGTGAATAGACGTATACCCGTGCTTTTGCAAACGACGACGACGAATGACGATCGAGTACCTAAATATAGCACCTATCCAATCCTCTGGTAGTTTTTCATCTGCACTCGAGATATTCCACCAAAATGGTCCGTCCAATGCAACATAATTATTACTATTTTTGTGCTTTTGATTCTTGATTGAAAATCGACATTTGCCGTAGTGGTTATTTTGTAACTTGTAGATAATGGGTTGTGATTTAAGACGTGTCATATAGGTACATCATTACGGTCACAGTAAAAATAACATTTATGTACATCGATTAATGACGATGCATTTTCTATGCCGTCCAGTGATTTTACCCTTGATCTTAATATTCTACTATGTTTTTTGGGTTTCATTGGTATTTAATTCATTCTTCTTATTGTTGTATCTTCTTTTGACATGAAAAACGAAGTGTACGGTTAAGAGGAAGTCGCACCCGCATGTGTTATCCGTTTTACACTCTTACGATATGGAAAAGTGAGTTGACCTATTATCAAACTTTTAGGTAAAAACATTATCTGTGTTCAGTCGTTAGTTTTTTACGATATTTTAATTTTTAAGCGAGTTATTAGTATGTAAAGTATAAATATTTGAAAATGCACATAATCCACTTAAAAGTTAAAATATCGTAAAAAAAACAACCAGATAACAATGATAATATTCTTACCTAAAAGTTTGATAATAGGTAAATTTACACTAATATCAAAACTAACAGCTCACTATTGAAAATAGTGAACGAAAATGTTGCCATGTCGCATGTGTGTAAGACGGAGACAACACATGCGGGTGGTCCCTTAGCCTCTTAGTAATTACAATCCAAAAATTAAGAGAGGAAGAGATGGATAAAATTGTTTTCTTATATTCTTTTTTGGTTATAATAATGAATTGATAACTAATTGCAGTTGTAAACAATTAAATTGAAACATTATTGGTTTGAAATGTTGACTAACCGTGTGAACGCAATGAACAAAAATATAAACTGCAGCAGCTACTGAAATAAGGTAAGCGATTACTAAGCTTACCTACCAAAAAAAAAAAACATAGAATAAAATAAGCAATATCATAAATATCAAGTTTGACAATTACGATCGTACCCATATGGGCTGTATGAATTACAGAAGACGGCAAAGCTAATAAAACACCTATATAAGTACAAAAATGCATATAATATATATATTGTGCGACGAAGCGATGAGCTATGTACCTATTGGTAGTCTATAAATATTTTGTTACCGTATACTTTCAATCGTTTGTTGAGTCAAAGGATATTCGTTCGACATAAACCGTTTACAAAAAAACAAAATTCCACGCGACTATAATGTAATATTGTAATGCAATATTTATCGAATGCGATAAAACTTTAAAATACACAAAGACCCGGCGCCACCCTTCCTCCATGGCACCAGCGCATCGTGCCCCGTCCGCCCCATAATTTATCCTCATACACAACGTACACCCACACACGCGTTTATGAGAACATCTCTGCCGCGTGTGGCCACCTCTAATAAAACACTAATAATATAATAATAACTTGTAAGGTACCTTACAAGGTACAAGTACCCACCTAACCTGCACTTTTATACGTTTGCACATACATTACAAAACCACCCGCCTACCTATCCAGAAGGTATGTGCAATATATATACAAGTGTTATTATTTTTGAGGTGTTCAACATAACTCCCTCTCGCATTATCGTCTAAACCACCGTCACCTCGCCGCCGGCGAATATCGTTATTTTTCACGAATAAGTTTGTTTATTATTAAAAGGGACGGCGACGTGGGGAAGCGTTAATAAAACGTCAACAAAACTACTAAACTACAGTGGCGGCGGCGGCGACGGCATTTACCGCGGCGAGTTTATTATTATTATTATTATTATTATTACAATTTTACAACGTCGTCTTTCGGCGGGTCGGGGGGGGGGGGGGGATGTGTCGACGCGCGCTGCAAATATTATCATTACGACGACGACGTATTGTTATTGTTATTCGCAAACCACCTCCGCCGCGTAGGGCAGAAAATTGTATTATTATTATCGTAAAAACCAACTGTTGTTTGGCGGCAGAGGTGGGCTAGAGGTGTCGAGAGAAAGCAGAGGAGAAAAAAAAGTACGCCACACCGAGACCGAGCGACGCGTGTATTATAAAAAGATTATTATAGGTACAATGTTGTTTACCGTCGGTCGTCGTCTTCTCCTCTCTACATCTGTATATGTACCACCGAGTACCGAACTACCTACCTATACCTGCCCGTCATCAGCCGTAGAATTTCCTCGCCGCATCGCCACAGTAGGTGTATATTATTATTATCGTCATTATTGTTGTATTATTATCATAGCAGCGCGATGATTATTATCATTTGAATATCCGCCTCCGCGTTTTATTAACTTAATTTTTTTATTCGCAGCAGAGTCGTTTTTAATTATATTCTATTTATTTTGCGGTCACGTTTGGACTGATGAATTCCACGAACAATTTATGTATTATTATTATTTAATTATCATACAGATCGCTGATTAGACACCATTACCGCCGATTATCAATACCTATGCGCCGTGAATTTGCCAACTTCTTACCTCGGAAGCTGGATTACGATTAAATTGCCATTTAGTCCGCCGCTCGCGGTGCTGTAGGGGAAAACGGAGTTTTAAATAATCGTGTAAGATACTGA